CACAGAGTACGCCATCGAAGCTTGGAAGCCATGGTTACAACGTGATCGTAATATGCTTGAGCGTCCACAAAGAATTGCCACCAAGATGGTCAAGGGATTCCATTACCTCACCTAGGAGGAGAGACTACGATCATTGTACTACATTCTGCTCAATACCGCTGGATTTGAGGACAGTAGGTTTGGGCTTGTGGAATACTGCAGAACCGAAACCATCCCTGTCGGTTGCTGCTCACGTTGTTGAACAATATACACCTTAGGGGATATCGTTTCCAGTTACTGATTCCAAAGTGTCGACTGTAATGCCGGCATCTATCTTTTGCAGTCAGAGTATGCAATACTTGGAACACCCTTTCATCTCACGTCATTTGTGCACCAACTATTGAGTCTTTCAAGTGGAGACTAGATGAAACTTTGACTCATCGGTTATTTCTTCTGTTCTCTTCGAAAAGATTACCATTCTTTTGTGGAGTTCGACAGAGCATTAACAGAAATGTAGTCAACTTTCCTAAAGGATCCCTACTACTGAACTACACTCAAGGATACTTCACAGCCCCGGACACAATGAACGGCACAAAGCCGTATCTAAATTAACCACATGCAACAGATTAGAATTATCCGATACCCTGCACTATATTTCTCCCTCAATCAAACGGTTGTCTGAAAGAACGAAGTCAAGACGGAAATGTTGGCCATGGTGAAAGCTCAACTGAAAAAAAACTTGTGGTGATTTCATTCTACTTTATTTACGGCCTCATCTCATCAACTATAAATCAGTGATTGTGTAATAGGAGCGCGATTGCCCTTCTTACTAATTCCAAACAAACAAATTTCACATTTTTCTGCATCTTCCTGATATGTATAAGCGTAATAACACCGATCGCTCAACATAGATTCATAAAGCCTACATGAGTTTAACCTGGATTAAAAGACAGATCTGGGGTCTCTCAAACCTCGGCTTTGATCATTTGAGAGATCTACTTCGGACACAATGCCGTCAAAGTGTTTTTACTAGGAGCGATAGCACTAGATGGTGTAACTTACATTCACTGCGCTCACATCAGCCTCATCGATTACCCGATCACGGAATACACGCAAACATTCGTGCCGCCAGAGACGCAAGAATTTCTTCGGACCTTTGAAACGTTCTGATGAGGATTGCAACAGGCCTTGGAGCAAACGAGACAATTCCCGAAGATTGAAAGTATAATGGAATTTGAGTGGTGTAGGCAACAGTTCCTCTCGAATTTGTCTAGAAATGAGGCGAGAAAGAGAACGGAGAACAATGAGAGATCTCAATTCATTTTGTTCACCAAATAGAAGACAGAAACCAGTTTCCGTGCGGTAAGTCCCTCAGTACACTTTCAACCTACTTGGAAAGGCGAAACGATTTAACTATGTCACCAAACCATACCTATCCTTTGTTTCGAACCACCTATGTACCACCCTGTTTCTTTCCGGTTAGATCCTTGGAAAACGCATAATGACAAAAATGTTTAATGGGAAATTTGAAACGATGGTGCTAATGCTGAGCTGAGACAGTTTGCGGGGTGGGGGG